TCCCATTTGTTTATCTGAAAATCCTTTTTTTTGTTAATATGGTTAAAACTGCATTTTGTCCAGCATATACCCCTGTAGTGAAACTACAAATAGAAGAGATATACTAAAAATTTATAACAAAATAAATAATAAACTAAAACGAATTTCAAATTTAGAATATATCTATTGCACTTACATCAGACATATGGGCTTGTAGATCAAAAACCAATTTTTTAACTGTCACAGTACATTTCTTAGATCATAATTGGGGTTTACAACAAAATTGATAGGTTTTAAACCATTATATGAAAAACTAGTGCTGAAACTATTTATTTTACAATTCTTGAAGTTTTGCAAGAAATTATTAACTGATAGAGTTGTAACGCTAACGCTTGATAAGCAGCTGCTAATACCGCGACAATATCTTTATTTGAAAAGAAATTGGATCCGTTCGGTGAAGGCAAATTTTATCACCGAAATGTGCTTGTCACATTATAATTTGATAGTTAAAGCACGGTTTAGATGCTATACATCAAAGATGAGAGGGTGCGTAGAGCTATCAAATTTATCGTGGCGGTAGCAATTCAAATATTGTAAGCAAGAGGACCCACTGGTTCGACCTTTGAAGTATGTACAAAACTGCCTATCCGTGGAACTCTACCTACTTGAGTTGGAAAAGCTTTGCTAACAGTGAAACAAATTACAGATTTCGTCAACCGGAAGAACTATCCAAGGAAGTTGTCAACTATAATGATTGGGCGGTTTGTGAAATTTTTATTCATTTCTTAAAATTTGTATGATGCTACTAATATATTAAGTAGGTATTTATATCCAACTACTAATTAGTGTTAGATTTTTAGTTCAAATTGCTAAAACTTTTGATCAATAAGATATGATAACTTTTAAGTGAAATTGTTTCAAGTATGGAGAAAAATATAAGAGATATTGGTTAGTATTCCATTCTTATATAGATTAGGCCTTTTTCTAGATCCTAGGTTTAAATTATCTGTAGTTAACGGTGTAATTACTGAGTTAGACCATTATTTAGGACATGATTATACGTCTTATTTGACTGACTTAAACACAATTGGATATACTTTTTTCTTATATAGAACATATATAATGGAGTAGAAGTAGAGTGGAAGTGGAAGTGGAACGTCTAGAGAGCGATCAGACCTTGATGTAGCCCCCCCTCAAGGATTGAGCAAGGGGCGTATGTGGGAGTGGCGGAAGCTCCACTCTAGCTCCAGCTCGTACATACTAGACCAAATGAGATGACTGGCTACTACCTACAGGTGGACTTGACCTTTATGACGATGAAGGAGCAACTTGACATGGATATTCTTCAATGGTGGAACCAACAAGAAAGTCAATTCCCCATTATATCCTAAATGGCACGTGACTATTTATCTGTGTCGGTTTTACAATTGCATCCCGAAGTCAAAAAACAGGGTATTTTATTAAAAAGCCAAATCAAGTTCAAATTTAATTAAAAGGTCATGTAGTTTGAAAGTGTTAAGTAAATAATCTTATTATTGATTAAAGTTAATTAAACATGATTAGTGGTTAATCATGTTTAATTAAGATTAATGAAGTATTGTGTAATTTTTAAAAATTACAATATGTCCCCAAAGAGCCGAAATTCTTGCAAACAAACCCAAACACCTTCTTCCTCTTCCTCTTGCCATTAACGCATCTCTCCCGTAGTTATTGTTTCTTCTAAGCTTCGTCTACATCTTCTTCTTCTTCTACATCTTCTTCTTTGTCTTCTTCTTCCTCTTTCCTGTACATCTTCTTCTTCCCACCATTAACACTATCTTCTTCCTCCACCATTAACATCTTCTCCACCACAGATCCTCCTCCTCCTCCTCCTTCTAACATTTCATCCAGGTATGTGTATCTCCCCTTTCCATTTTATATTTTGATTTACAAAGATTTAATGATGGATTGGGTTTGGGTTATGATTTTGATTTAGTTGTTTAGGTTTTTGAGTTGTGTTTGATGTAGTGCAAGTTGAAAGGAGTGAAATTTGTTGAATATTTTCTTGCATTGTGGGTGGTAGTTGGGGGTGGTAGCACCGATTGTAGGTGGAGATGACTGAAAATGTGTTTTGGATATGATGGATCGCTTAAGCAATCTGGTGAATCGCTTAAGCGATCTGGTATGTTTGGTATAATGCAATAGATCGTAGATCACTTAAGCGATTAAACATATGGCAGAAGATCGTTTAAGCGATCTGCTATAAGTCTAGTATATGATAGCAGATTGCTTAAGTGATCAGGTAAATGACAGAAGATAGCTTAAGCGATTTGTTATAAGTCTGATGTATAGCAGCAGATCACTTAAGTGATCAGGTGAATGGCAGAAGATCGCTTAAGCGATCAGACTTATTTATACCAGATTGTTTAAGTGATCCATTATATCGCTTAAACGATCCAGTAAACAATATACCAGATTGCTTAAACGATACACCAGATCGCTCAAGCGACTCTGTAGATGCTTTTTAAAATCTTTCAACCCTTAATAAATCAATTACTACTATTTTTTTCCTGCATTATAGGTACTTGGCTATTATTAGACATTGAGCAAGTTGTTTTGGGTGTTGAATATTTTGGTGAGTGGGTGGAGGAAGAAAGTTGCTAGAAGTGGATTGGGAAGAGCAAAGAAGTTATATAAATTGCTATGAGCACAGATGTTAGTTTTGATGAGTTGATTGATGAAATAATTAGAAGAGGTCATTTGAGTTGCTCACATAGTGATATAGTTGTGAAGTATTATATGATTGATGTAGGCGATAATGGTTTGAGACTAATTTTAAGGGTTTCTTTTGTAGATAAACTGTTGGAAGTTAGTTCAAAGGAAGGGGATAACAAGGAAGTTGGCGGAGAGAATGTTGGTTTTAATTTGAACTACGAGGGCATTGATTTCTTAGTTGAAAAATCAAGAATAGACTGTGATTTGGGTGGTGAGGAAGACACTGTAGAAGAGGTTGGTCATGTGCGGCACCCTGTACATGTTCCCGCAGATGTAGAGATTCCTTTAAATACAGATTATGCAGAATGTGTAGTTTGTGAGGAAGAGAACACTATGGTCCTTTATGCAGGTTCAGAGGGGGCAATTGTAGGTAGTAGTGAATAAGCTCATGTTTTTATGGATGGATCGGAGTTGCGCATAGGGTATTTATTTGACAACAAAGAGGAAGTGGTGAGGAAGCTAAAACTTATTACTATGAGAGGTAATTTTGAGTTCATCACCAAAAAGTCTAATTCATCGGTTGTGACGGTTGCATGTCGTGACTGAAAGTGCAAGTGGCGGGTTTATTGTAGAAGGTTGGCGCAGTTCGAAAAATTTATTGTTAGCACATATATCTGTGAGCACACATATGGTTTGTGCCATATTTCAAGTGAGCATCGACAAGTCTCCGCTGATGTTATTGGACAATTTGTCAAAATTCAGTTCGTTGAAGGGAAACGTCCATCTCCTAAAGACATTCAGAGACTTGAGCGTACAGAGTTGGGATGTGTTGTTAGTTACTGGAAATACTGGAAAGGGAGACAACATGCACAAGATTTTGTGAGGGGCACGCCGGAGCATGGGTACGCAGTATTAGAAGTGTATCATTATATGCTTGAGTTGACAAACCAAGGTAGCAAGACGGCTTTGAAGTGGGACAAGAATATAAGGTTTAAATATGTTTTTGTTGCTTACGGTCCTGCTATAAAGGGTTTCCAATTTTTTCCGATGTTCACAAAATGACCGAAGCAACTATCTTTAAATTGGTTCATACCTTTCTTCTGTTCCTTTAAAATCACTATTATTCTCGTAAAAACTTGCCAACTCGACCTAATTGTCACCCTTACAGGGAAGTACAGTACCTTATCACTTACAATCTTCAACTCATAGTCTTTATAATTTATGCTTTGCAAAATCTGCACAAACGATTAAACTACATATCAGCAAAAAAAGAGACCAAAACAACCAGTAGGCTGACAATTTGGGGGATATGGCCTTCGAGGGCAACGAGGAGTGAGTGTTTTTGGCCTCGACAGGATCGGGGAAGCCAATGCAAGCCCTATAGAGCCCGTTGTAGCAGGTTCCATGAGGTTGGACAGCTGGGGATGGTAGGAGGTGGCGGTGCGTGGCCAACCCTGCAATATGCAGGGCAGCCCTCCAGCCCCCCTATTCTACCACCTCCTGCCATCCCCAGCCCTCCAACCTCCCACAAACAACCTCCCTATGGCCTCCCTTGCCTTTCCCCATCTTTTGGAACCCAAACAAAGCCACTCCCCCATGCCTGCCAACTGCTTGACAAAAGGCCACAACTATCATAACAATAAAACCAACTATATATCCCCAAAGCACAAATCAATCAAATTTCTCATCAAATTCAAAACAAAAGTAAAAAACGTACCCTTTCTTCACCGCTGTCCTCCCTTTTAAAACCATTTCCCGATTCTTATCTCTTTTCTTGTGTCGCCGTTATCTTCTCTACCTCTGGACCACCTTGACTCATCAGATGATCCATCGGAGCGTCTTCTTCGATAGCCTTTGAACTATTGGTGCCGCTGAAGTCTAGGATTCGAAGTGGGGTTGGGTTTTCCTCCTCTTTGTGAATGTCAACCATGGTTCTGTGTAAGGAAGTTTTAGGATCGAATATTTGCCAAAATTAAGGCATTATCGTCACCGAAAATCGCTGAGAAACAAAATGTGTTCTAGGTTGTTTTTTGGGTATATGGCTTAATTAAGCGATTTTGAAGGGTAGAGGCTTGTTTTCAAATTTCAAAATTGAAAAAAACTTTTATTAATTATAATTTTACTTACCTATGTTTAAATCTTTTTAATTTAACCTATTTCACATGTTGAATGGATTCTAATTGTGTCTATGTCAGCTTTTCTAAATTAAAAAAATTCAAAAATATTTTCAGGCCTGTTTTTTTAAATGCAAACTCGGGAGGTCTCGGAGAGTTAAATTTCCTCGGAAAAAACAGGGGTTTTAGGCAACATTAAACTGTGTCATTATCTTTAGCTGCAATGGCGAAAGCATTATTTCGCAACTTCCGAAGAGTTTCTTCCCTCCTCAAACCCTTGTCATCGGACCCTTTCTCCCTCAGGTATACGAACACGCACTCTATCTTAAAAAATTTCTTTGAAATTTCTTTCTATGCTTACCCATATTTCTTTTGTTTATCTTTTCTTTTAGCTTCAGCTCAGTTTCTTAAAGTCACAATTCTTTCAGTTTCACCGCCCATCTTCCTCTCGATTACGCCTCATTTTATTTTGCGGGTTTTAATTAGTATAGGATGTTTTTCCCTTTTTTTCTTTTTATAAACAACGGTTATTTCATTCTCATAATGTAATTTTATGTGTCTACCAGGTCGGTTTTTCCAGCTAAAGAATCAATTTTGTGTTCAAATGCTCACTTAACTTCACTAAAACGGACAAACCCTTCATGGGTAATGAGAAATTTCAGTCATGGAACTGTGAGTCTTGTGATTTCAGAAGGAAAACCTAAGTTTGAAACTCATGAAATAGACCCTCCTAAGAAGGAGAAGTGGATGACTAAAAAGAGGTTGAAGTTGAAGAGAAAGAGAGAGAAAGAGAAGCGAAAAGCGGCCAATAAGAAGGACCCACGTCGGCTTACTGTTAAAGGGAAGAAGAAGAAGCAGAAGTTTGCAAATGCTGAGGAGAGAATCATGTACAAGCTTGAGAAGGTCAGTTTTGTTGTTACTGTTACTGTATTTGGTATGAAGTAGTGCTCAGTGTTTCAAATTAACTCTTTGTTCGATTATTAACTCTGTTGCTAAGGCCATTTGTTGAAAGGCAATTCTAACGCGCATTAAAGTTTTGATAGGGAAAAAAATGTGAAACTTGTAATTGGACACTAATGACTTGTAATGTGGAATGATAAAATTGTAATATTGAATGAAAAACTTGTAACGAGGTAAATCTTAATATTGAACATAAAACTTGTAATATTTGAATCTAGGACTTGTAAAGTGCTATTACAAATTAGATGTTTAGTATAAATATCTACTTGTATTTCAGAGTACATGTATTGGGATTAGAAGTGTGCTATGACAAACTTCATTCTAGATAGTTATGTTGTGGAATGTTAAGAGGTTACCCTGAAGATGAAATACTGGAACTTTTTTCTGTTCCTTATTAGAACAGTCAGGTTATTCTATTCAACTCCAGGTGTTGCTTGGTTTTGAACATCATAACTTTAGCGTAATACATATCAAGTTCCCTTAACCAGACTATTAACATGTCATGCAGAATAGGAATGATGCCTTACCTATATTGAAATTGAATTTTTTTGCTAGGAAACAAAAGGAGTAAGTGCTTTAATTCAAAAACATTACTAAAGGACATGCCAACCACAAAAATAAGGACAAGTTGTACAAAGGAATTTTGTTTATCCATACGTTTTAGAGCATAGAGCTTCCTATGCATAACTGAGTATCTTTTAAAGATCATTATTTTGGTGGTTATCTACATCTTCTACATGTTGTATTTAATTCTTGCTTTCTATTTATTCTTATTTTACCTGTACATAAAATACCCTTGCTTCAAGGAGTTTTTCAAAACATCAAGAGAATGGTCTCAATTTTTTCCTGTTTTCTTTCTTTTGAGTTTCCTTCTTGGCTCTCTGAACAGATTTGATGATACTGAAAAGCTAAAGTCAACGTCATATAGAACTTTCATGATGAATGAATAGTTTGGGAAGAGTATGTCTGGTGGCAGCTGTTTCAGTTCTGATGCTTTCTTGGAGAAGAATAGTACAGGATTTTGGTTATATATTTATAAAGGAATCGGCAATATATTCTTTTCTGAAATCATGTGAGCTTTATTCCTGTTTTCCTTCTTCTAACCACCGTCTATAATTTTTTATCAAAAAATAAAAAACCACCATCCTGAGCGATTTGTGTAAGGCATAATGGATGCTGTAATTTCTGGTTTTTTAAAATCTGGAATTACACATTGATCTAATACTATAGAATTAGGTTTGCATTTTCCCTTTTGGCCAATTGCTTTGTAAAATTATGTTCACTTTATCAATGAAGAATATTGAGCTGTTTTCTGTGAATTGCTCATTTACTGGGTTCCACAGATGGCTGATGGCAGGGGTGATCCTTGCTAATTGGCGAGCTCTAGTTCTTGGTTATTTCTTGAAAAGTTTATCATATGATAAATTTGGTGGCTTTGGCTCTCTCTTTTCTTTTTCAATTAATCTTTTCAATCTTTTTTCTTCTAATGCAGTTTGTGGAGATCTCTTTCTAGTTCTTTGTACTCTATCTCTCTCTCATACTTTTGATGTTATTTTCCCAAGGATGGGGTATGGACTTGAGAGTATTTTGTTCAAGAGGATGTCCTATGACATATGGGTCACAATGAGACACTAAAAGGGCTCTATGATATCTGTCTATGAAAATGTTAGGATGTGATTTGGGTAGAATTGTCTAGGTTGTAGAGTGATTTACTTTTGCTAAAATCTAGAAATTAATACAATTGTAAATCTACTGAATTGTTGGCTAATTTGTTTGGTTTTGAGTTTTTAATAATTTGGCAAGCTAAGCCTACTTGAAAATGATTGCAATGAAATTATTGGATGAAGTGGAGAAAGTGCTATTTTCAGAGTCCAGCTCTAGTAATTATCGTATGCACATTAAATTCGTTGTTTTTACTATCAAAGTTCAGTTGGCCATGTGATGAGATGCTTTCCGTTAAGCTCTAACTTTTATTATTTATATTTTTTTTTTTTTTTGTGAGGAGTATTCCAAAGTTGCATTAATCTGTATATGTCCCAGATCCTTTATCTCCTTCACTTTCTTTCATCCAAAGTTGATGGGAAATAGTAACTTTTTCTTTACAAGTTTGTGCTATTAATCAAAAAGAAAAGTTCTCTTTTCCTTGCATTTGTGGACACTTCTCAAAATTATCATAAATGGTATACTCTGTATACATATTATAGGATTCTGATTGGACTACAAACTTGTTCTGAATCTTTGTAATATTTTGAAGCCTTATACTTGTTTTATTTGTTTTTCTTTGTTTTTGTTCATTTATATAATTTATTTTCTTATGGCAGGCAAAAATCAAGGAAGCCTTACTGATTGAAAGACTTAAGCGATATGAGGTTTCAAAGCTTCAAGGTCCTGTGGTTAAACCACATGAATTGACTGGCGAGGAACGCTTCTATTTCAAGAAGATGGCACAGAAAAGATCTAACTACGTGCCAGTTGGCAGAAGAGGAATATTTGGTGGAGTTATTCTTAATATGCATATGCATTGGAAGAAACATGAAACTGTTAAGGTCATTTTCAAGCCTTGTAAACCTGGCCAAGTACATGAGTATGCCCAGGAAATTGCCAGATTGAGTGGTGGAATCCCAATTCACGTCATTGGAGATGATACCATAATATTTTATCGAGGGAAGAACTATGTGCAGCCAGAAATCATGTCACCAATAGACACGTTGTCCAAAAAAAGGGTGAGTTCTTCAACTTCAATGTTAAAAAATTCCTATATTTTTAATTATAAATATAAAGTACTATGGATAACTCTTTTTGTTTTTTTTTTTTTTTTTGGAATAGCGCAAAACTAGAACCATTTGGTCTACTAAATGTATTACTTATATTTTAAGTCATAATTTATAACTTTAATTACCAAACCTGATTTCACTGAATTTGTATTCTCAAATGTATTTTCTCATCATCCATGAAGTCTTGTGGATGAAACTGTTTACCAGTTAGTAAATATTGTCAATTCTAAACACTCATTTCCATCCAGAGAATCCAAGGTGCACTAAGGATAAGCAACTTAATGAAATGTTTGCTGAATCAACTACTTAATTCCTGTAAATGAGAGCTTATTGCAGCATTAAAAAGAAAATAAAAATAAACAACCTGATTGTAATGCTCAGTTGTAAAATTATCTTATTGATGATAAAAATAAACAACCTGATTGTAATGCTCAGTAGTAAAATTATCTTATTGATGGTAGCTTGATATTGTCTCATAGCATGAGGAACATTTCATGTCGGATATCTATGTTATGTTTCTCACAAATGAATTCACAGTTTTAAGCAACTAACATGCATGACCATGTTTATGGAGCTTCACGGAATTCCTTCTTGATCTTCTTTGGTTTGCAAGCTAATCATAACCCTTCCATGCTCCAATAAAAAATAAAAATTGAAAAGATTCTGGAATGTTTAAATTTCAGATGCCTAGTCACATATCTTCTGGATTTTTTCTTTTTCTTTTTCACCCAATTCCTGCTAATACCTAAGAATTTGAGTATTTATCTTGATTACAAGCTTTTGTGGTTGTAAGAGTTGGAATTTGCATTTTCTGGTCTGAATGTTGAAACTTTGGATGCCTAGTCACATATCTTCTTAAACTATGGTACTTGATTACGATAAACTAAGGTCTTCTTTTGTTATTTTTTATAACCTTTTGATGTTCATAAGATGATCCAGAGTACCTAAACTTGTGTGTGTAAGATAATATTCGAGAATCAGTAAGATTTTATCTAGTATATTATTAGTTTAAAATATGGGTGGGGAAAGCTTAGAGCATTTCTTCACTGAAACTTTTTCCATTTGTTTCATTTTATGATTGTAGTCTACACATTGGGATCTTCTTGATTATTGAATGATCAGTTTGTTAAAGTGGAAGAGCCTCTATGATGATATGATCTGTTTTATTTAGTGAACAATGGGAATCACATAGAATTAGTCATTCTCTTCACTTAAGTTTGCGTTATCTTTACAGGCACTAGAAAAATCAAAATATGAGCAATCACTGGAATCTGTTAGGCGCTTTATTGCCATTGCAGAGAAGGAATTGGAGCTATATTACAGACATATGGCACTATACGGTGACCCGAATGATCGGAATCCCATTTCAATCTTGGACGGTCCTACAAAAGTCGCCCGGGAATCACAAAAACATGAAATGCTGAAAAGGAAAGGGCATGGTTCCACCACTTATAATGTCTTTTCTCCAGGTATTTCAGAACTATCAAAATTTGAAGATGAAGACTTATCGATAAGTGAATCAGATTCCGAAGATGATTTATTGTCTGATTCTGAGTACTATGGGAAAAGCCAAGTAAGCTTTTCTGGAACTCAAGAGAGCTCATCATCAACAATGTTTGAAACTGTGTATGACTCTAAGAATCAAAACTTTTCTAGAACAAAATATTGATGTGAATATTTAATATAATATCGAGTTGAGTGCTAGATCCTGATAATTAATCTTGATAAACACCTCTTTATTAGTTTTGCACCCTCATTAATATAGATTTTATCATGTTTATTTTCTGAAAAATGAGGATATTTGTTGGAAGAAAATTGCCCCAATTGGTTGCATACTATTATTTACATTTGAGGGGAAAAAGAAAAGACTGGCCTTCATATGACTTTTCTGTCTTACGGTACATCCTTTCATTTATATCTATCCCAATGAGCCTTTAATGCTATTATCCCAATGAGGTTTATGAAATCTGTTATCAATTATAATTGAATACATGTTATAGAGAATCAGTAGATAATGTCTTATTTAGGGCTGTTAACGAGCCGAGCTGAGTATTCTGCTAAACGAGCTTGGCTCGTGAGGGGGGAAGGGTTAAACGAGTTCGAGCCGAGCCGAGCCGAATCGTAGATTGCTGGCTCGGCTTGAACTCGTTAGGGATATAGGGCAATCGAGCTTGGCTCACGAGTCGGCTTGTCAAGTCGAGCTCGAGCCACCTCGCGAGCTGGTACTAAAGCATCCAATTTTTATTTTTTTTGGATCAAACCTGTTTTCTCATGGTATTCAATACATTTTCTGTCCTATAAATTAAAACAACGACTAAATCTCTTTACAAATTAAACATAAAAGAAATGTTGGGGACATGCATGTATAGTATATTCCATTTTAATGCCACAAAGGCACAAAATATTTGACAAACACAAGTAAACTTGCATGTATTTGGCAAACAACTGAATCTCTACATGTGATCATTTCATCATACTATATACAAAATACTATAGTCGATCTGTTTCAACAGACTAAGTGAAGTGAATTAAAGTTTTTGTTTGATTCACTTTACTTTATTCATCTTTCATCAGAACAAAGAGGGATTATATACAAATTTAATCCCAAAACATTAAAATATAATGTTTTATCAAAAAAATGGATGTATGTTGGGTAGCTACATCCCAAAATCATTCTTGTTCCACTCCTACAAACAAAATAATAATAATAATAATAATCACTTAAGGACATAAGTACATAAAGATGAATATGCGAACCCAAACAAAAAATTAGTTAAATCAAACTTGTACAATCCTACTGCCACAACCAATGACATGTAACAGAATCAAACAATCTACTAATTCCCGTCAATTGACAGGATAGGAAGAACAATCTCCAAGTGGTCTTGCTCTTTTTGAAACGAAATAAAAAATAAAAAATAAGTTTATATTACTATAAAATAATTGTAAATATTGAATTGCACTAAAAATATAATCAAGGGAACTCAATTATTGACATCAATCACATCCACATAAAAGCATTTCCACCGTGTCCGAAGACAAAGAAGCTTGATAATTGTCAATAACCCTACTCTCAGCATTGAATGCAGACTCTGAAGCAACTGTAGTGATCGGGATGGCTAGTATCTCACGAGCCATCAAAGACAATGTAGGGTACTTGGTTGAATTTGTCTTCCACCATTGTAAAGCACCGAATGCCTCATGATCCCCCACGCACTTATGACACCCCTCTCTCAAATAACAATCTAGCTCAGACTTACTTGGCTCAATAGTCTCCACCACATCTAAAAAACTGCTAAAATCATCCCAACTCGAGGCTCCCAGAGTCATTGCCTCCTCACCAACGGCTCCAACTCCATCCCCTACTTCTGGAGGCCCACGAGAAATAGTTGAAGCTTTATTAGCTTCAACATACTCTCCATATAGCTCATATAGTACATCCCGAACAGTTAGAATATTTGCACGGGCTTCTAACTCAAAATACATTTTGGGGAAGACCTATTGAATTACCCTCATTTTCAATCGAGGATCCAATACAGCAGCCACAGACATCAGCACATTACATTCCCCTCAATATTTATCGAACTTCTCCTTCATCTTCCTCACCATGTTTCTAATAAACTCATCTTCATCTTCACTCTTACTATCCAACATCATTTTCACTAAACAAACCTCTTTTAAAAATATATTAGATGTCGGACAATCACTCCCACTAATGAGATTGGTTGTACCACTAAAAACCTTTGAAATGTCACACACTTTCTCCCAATCCTCATCCTGTGGATAGTAATGATAACTTGAATCCTTTTCTTTCAACCTGGGAAATACTTTTTTAAACTTAATCGCCATTGCCAACATTTCATACGTCAAATTCCATCTTGTTTTATAATATAGAATAAGCTTCTGAAACGACAATTTAAGTTGTTGCACAATCTCAGTAAAGACAATGAGGTTCAAGATATGGGCACAACATCTAACATGAAACAATTTCCCTCCACAAATCAAATTCCCCATAACTTCTAAATTTTCCCTCAGAATTTTGATTGCAACATTATTACTTAAAGCGTTATCCACTGAGACAGTGTATACCTTATTTTCAATCCTCCATTCCGTAAGGCACTTGGAAATGGAGTCAACAATCATAACACCAGTACGAGGAGGAGGTAAATGCACAAAGTTGAGGACACGTCTATTCAACCTCCAAGTACCATCTATCCAATGCCCAGTAAACACCATATACTCTATCTTCTGATTGCCAGAATGCCACAAATCCGTAGTCAAACTAATCTTGGCCACATTCTTCAACAGCATCTTCAACTTCGCTTTTTCACTCTCACATATTTTCATTGAATCATTTTTGCAATTATGGAAACCGGACTCCATTCAAGAATCTCATACTTCATCATATTGTTCAAGCTCTCTTCCTCGATAATTGAAAATGGATGCTCATGCATAAACAGCCAATGGGCGATAAGTTCTCTCATATTCATCATGTCAAACTTTCCAATAAAAGCAGGCAAAACAGAAGTTCCAACATCAGAATCGACAACGAGAAAAGTAATGTGTTGTTCCTTCATGGAAGTTATTCTCTTTGAACATCGTTTCAAATGTCTATCAAACTGGGTGGTGCTTCTGCTGGCATTAATAGACAACTTGGCTTTGTAATGGATACACTTGGCCTTTTTTGTACCCCCTAGGAGAACCACCTCCGTAAACTCTGTCCAAACTTAGCTCTCTTTTTCCTCTGAATTGGATTCTCATTCTACCCAACATTATCTGGGATACTAAAATTGTGTTTCTTATTTGTGGTGGTCTCATTCAAGGAAAGTTTATTGCCTGGTGTAATCGTAATTGTATCTTGCTTTGTAGGGCTGCTTGAGGCACTGCCGGCCATTTCCAAACCTATAATGCAAAATAAAAACAAAGGGATTAGCTACATTTAATATAAAGTAAAAGCAAATCCTAAACAGCACAGTCCACAGTCCACAACACAAACACATTATACATCCCAAAGCATTTTCATTTTTCAACATTAGTGACATAACACATACATTTATTTAAAGCCTTACTGCATTTAATACAAAGTTCTTTTTTTTTTTTTTTTTTTTTTTTTCCAACAGTGGAGCTTTATTTAAAGTGAATGTGTCATTACTCATTTTCATTTCCTCCTCATTCAGTCATCTCAACACACCCGAATAAGTGGCAAGGCAGCACAGCACAACACAAACACTCCACAACACAAATATTGATTTTACACAGCACAAACACCTTACACTTACTGACTTACACAACACAAACACTCCACAGGACCATGGCACAAACACCTTACAGTTACACAACACAAACATTACACTTACACAGCACAAACACTTCCTCAATAGTGAACACAAACGCAACAGCCAATAGCGGTTTCAGCACAGTGCACAACATTGGCATTTTTCAACATCCCAAAGCATTTTCACATTTCAATCATTCATATTTCCATACAACTATTTACATTGAGAAAACAAAGAAGAAAATGGGCCAAAAAAAAAAGCCTAATTGAGATATTGTGACGGCGAGACAACGGGCAAGATCTTCGGCAGGAGAAGAAGTAGATTGCAACGAAGAGAGCTTGGCCTGGCCGACGAAAATGGCGAAATGAGGGAGAAGAAGGTGAAATGCGTAACAAGTGACACTGGCAGTTGTAATAGTGGAAGACGACAACCTTGAGCAACGGCACCAGCACCGGCGAAGGATGATCGGGATTGTCATGGGGTTATTTTTTCAATTTAGGGATTTGGATTTGGGGGTAAAAATCGTGTTTTAGTTTATCACAATGGGGGAATTTGTGAAATTTTAAACTATTATGCTTAATAAAGGCAAATTTCATTTAACCCCTAATAGATTGAAAACCCTCTGCGTTACCCTCTATATCGAGCCAGAATCGGCTCGCAAGCCGACTCGAATCGTCAAGTCAACCCGAGCATTGTTCAAACTCGGCTCACATATGCTTTACGAATCAAGCCGAGCCGGATCAATTAAGCTCGAGTCGAGCTCCTGACGAGCTTTTTTCGAGTTGGCTCGCAAGTCGCTCGATTCGTGTAACAGTCCTAGTCCTATTCAACTTGTTAAGGTTGTACATTACAATCGTTACTTTAGAATCAATCTTTTAGTTGAAGCTACAAGAATAAAAACATTGTTACCCACTTATTCCTCTTTGTGCAATTGGGTCAAAATTCATAACTTAAGTACTGGCAATAATATAATATTTTTTTTTTTTTTTTTGGTAGCTGTGGTGTTTAGGTCAGTTTGTACGCATCTCGACTAGTCCTCATGATCCATTGAACACCCTACAAACTTAATGTGATAAGTGACCATTTGATGGGATTCGAACACAAGACTTCTAAAAAAATAATACAATTTCTTACTAAAATAAAATCATAAGAGAATTATTATAATGATATTATTAAAAATGATAATTGAATAACTACCTTTGAACTAATCTATAATGATATTTTTACACAAAACATACTTTTTAAAGTGTCACAAATTTGTTTTTGCGCTTCACTCACGCATCATTCACTTAAAACATGCTTATTCAGTTAATTGAACCTAAACCTTATTAATTAAATCGCATACTCATTCATCAACGGTATAAGATATTACAACTTATACCTTATGGATCTCATCTCATGTCTTTGTGACAACTTACACCGTATGGATCTCATCTCATGTCTTTTGTGAGATTGTCACATCACATCCTCAGATAACTAAACCCGTTCTAATACTATTTGTCATATCTTATATCCGGTTGAGTGAATATTGTTTGCTTTTGGCCTAAACCTGCAAATATTTGCTTTTAAACTTCATGTAAGTGTCTATTTAATTAAGTAGACTCAAACCTTATAAATTGAATCTCAAATTCATTCACCATTGATATGAAATATGACATCAAGTAACACAAAATATTATGCTTTATAACAAAACCATCAAAATACCCTTTTTTTTTTTTTTTTTTTTTTTAATAGAAAACCTAATCACACACATCATCAATGATTCAATCCAATCAGGCACTAACCTTCATAGGGGTAAAAATGTAAATCGCCCTCAAAATGATAAAAAAAAAAAAAGACCTTTTTATATATGGGCCTCCCTTTATAATCTAGAGAATAACAGCCCAGACTAATTCAATTTTATTGCAAAAATTGGAGTTGTCATTGCCACGGCAAAGAAGCGATGTTGAGAACTCGATTGCTTTGGTTCACAGCTGGGTTTTCAGTAGCAGGAGGTGCAATTGCCCACTTCATCTGTAAAGATCTTTTTTCTCGAAGTTATGCCCTTTCTGCTGATGTAACTCTCCTCTTCCCTCCTTCAAATTTGTTTATTATTTATTTATTTTTGTGTGTGTTTTTATAAATGGATATGAAAGACTGTTGACGGTTTTACTGGGTTTTATTTTCTTGTAGACTAAACAGAAATTTGAAAACCTGGAAGCCAGAGTGTCGAATCTCGAGTCAAATGTGAGTCAGGTAATTAAGCTTTTCTTATAGGTAGTTGATTGATTATGGGGTTTTATTGTTGATTATTATTGTGAAGATGGTTTTTGTTAGAGAAATGGTGATTTGGTCATAGTAAGATTGCTCAATGGCCATGTCTAATGTGACTCAATTGTTCATTTTGTGAAAATTACAATATACTAATAGGAATCCCATTTGAGTTATATTTTTATTTTTAATTTTTTTTCAATATCTAATAGCTGGGAAGGACATATTTGTGCCCCTCCAAAATCACAGTGGTCGCATCAATGTGTGTTTTTAATGCACACCGTGATTCTATGCATCTGTCTTGAGGACTTTCTTCTAGAGCAATTGTAGATGATGCTCTCTCTCTCTCTCTCTTTTGTTTTCTAGACTAAAGGCCCTGAACCTGTGAGTAAGATGGAGTTCAGAACCAGGCCCCTACACAAACCTGCAATCTAAACTTGTGTCTTTTTATTTGTGTTACCTAATGGTGACTTATTTTAACTGTGTTAACCATATAATAAGAATGTTTTAGTTTGTGAATGGATAGGTCATAGGTGTGGAATACACATTATACATAGAATTGCAAGAGATAAACCTATTGTTTTGTGTTTGGTGGCAAATCACCAATGAACCGTTGATATTGTAGTTGGATGTTTAAGTAATGATTATGATTGAACATGGATTACTTGGCTTCCATTTTGTTTTGTTTTCTTAATGGATTAAATCTCGTTCAGGTTAAGAATACTAATATCTTTATGTTGAATATCATCTAGCCAAACAGGGAATTAGTGGGACTTGAAATGGTTGTGAGGAGTTTGATCTACCTAACATGGGCATCACTGTGTTGTTCAAAATTATTCTTCGTGTCACCACAGATTGTACTTGGGTTTCTATTTGCGATCCATAAATCTATGATCTTACAAATTATGCTTCCACTATAATTTGGTGCAGTTTTTTTTTTTTTTTTTTTTTTAATTTAAACATATTTGCTTAAAGAATGTTATGGATTAGCATCTTCAGAATCATTTCTTGTTAATTTTGTAGTTCATGATTGTGCAGAAGTGGTCAATAACAAGTTTTTTTTGTTTATCATACTAGCAGGTTGAAGGGTAGATGTAAAATGGAGCTGAAGTGATCAATTATGGTTCAGTTTGGCTTCTTTAGGTATCTGATGTAATGAGTATTTTGATAAATTACTCCATAAATGTTTCTTGTGGAAGTCACATTATACTGCAAAATTTAGCATAAAAGTACTTGACATTTCTTTGTGAGACTTTTAAGTAAAGAATTTTTTTTTTTTTTTTCCGAATCAGTTATTAATTTTTTCTCATTCACTCATGTATATTTTATTGCGAGGAAAGAATGATAGCACAGAGCTCTGATATAGGCAGGGGATGAGCAACTCATTGCCTTGCAAAAACAAATCTTTGGCTCTTGATGAAGGCATCAATGTGTCCATTTCTTTACCAATTTGAGCTGTTGTCTAAACTCTAAACAAACGCATTAGATGCTATTTTTAAAAAAATTGGCTTTCGTGATTTCAACCTATGGTTTGACTCCTGCTGAAAGTATTTAGAAGGCCGATGATAAACAGTTAATGACAGAAGACCAATATAATCAGGCCGAAGAAGAGGATAGACTAGGGAGAACAGAAAGAAAGGAAGTCTAAAAGAATAAAAGAGCGAAAGAGAGTCAATATGGAGAGAACCAAAATTTTATTTTACTATCAATTGATCAAGCAAGCATAAAACTATAATGAAAGAAGCCTCTATACTCAAAATCAAATCCCAATCAAAACGTAATTCTAATAATTCTGAACCAAAACCTGGGGCGATTAAGTAGCAGCATTTTTAGCGAAAGATTTTTACAGGCAAAATTTACAGCATATCTTGTATCAAAATGAAATATACATCCGAGAAGCCCCGATGACTACAGAACTGGAAAAAGGGCCAAAACCTGTCAATTTTGAAGTGCGGGTGAAATCCAGGATAAAATGTACCAAACTGCTCAAACCATTGTCACTGGAAAAGAAGAAGGCAGCTGATCTTCTATACATGGCAGGGAAAATCATTGCGCATTTGGTAAGGCAATTAGATATCACCAGCCTGATAATATCAGTCTTTGGATGAGAATGGAGAAAAATAGGCAGTTCCCTTTTGGTAATTAGATTAAAATGACCTAACCTGTAAATACCATCTTTAAAAAAACCTAAACATTTATTACCAACACCAGCTTTGCTGGTATAATATGTTGCAAAGTATTCAATTACCAGTTGCAACATGCAATTACATATTGGGTGCAGTCCAATTGAAACTGCAAGTTTAGTTCAGTCTAGAGTTAAAAACTTTTCTTTCATATCATTTTTACATTCACATTTCCCCTCACACAACTATGTACTTACTACACAATACAAAGTTCCTACAATCAATCAATCTACCAAGAGAAGGACGATAATTAAATAATATAAATCTTTACATTCTACAGCATCAGATTGAATGGACATTTAGAGTGTCTTCTTTAACTAATAAAATAACTTTACCAAGGAACTGGTTTTATTCATATTTCAGACTTGATTTGAATTTGAACGGCCCAACTTGAGGGAAATAGTCAGAAGCATCAGCAATCCAATCCCTGATCATGAACTCATTTGATGGGATGTACGGGGAAGGATGGAATTGGCGAGTTCGTCGTTAACTTTCACAGGAAGTGGAGGCATCTGCTTCATTATCTCCGGCAGGTCATTCAAGCTGGCATAATTATTCAAATCAGAAGAATAATTCTGTTAAACTATTTTATCTCTGAAAGACTATTTTGCTTCTAAACATAATTTTCAAAGTCAAATAATAAGAATATACATAGAATTCATTTGTATCCCAAATTCTTGCACCCTCAAGCATTTTCATAACTGAAACCGCTAATATGATGATTAAAACACCATGACAAGCAAAAACCATGATATGGTGATAATGCTGATAGTTATACCACCCACATATAACTACAACTACATGTAGCCAGCAGAGAATGTTCAAGATGTGAATACACACATTCATACAAAAGTATGCAACCACCCCACAAAAAACAATTAAACAGAGGTAGAGACATACTCGTTCAAGATTGAGAGGATGTTGTCCCGAGCCTTGCATAAGAGATCGATGTTATCACATATCTGCAAGTCAAAAAAATAAAATATATGACTATAGTTTTGGCAAAAATAATTTGCTAAAACAGAGACCATGTTATCCAATGCTGCAACAATTCCCAAACAAGACAAGCCGTCAGATGTCAAGATCATCCAATAAATTTGATTAATGAGTTAAATCACAATATAGCAGATCTAAGAGAGTCAAGGGGCTATGTGTTGTGGGTCTGTGGCCCACCAAGGGGCTATGCTATAATTCTCAGTGATTAAGTAAGAAATCACATCTATTGATTTAGTAAGAAATCACATCTATTGATTTTTGGTGTTTAAGAGCAATTCACTGGAGCATCAAACCAATTGTCCACATAAAATTATGGAAACTGAAATCTAACAAGAAATCATCTGCTACTTCAGACCATATTAAAAGAACATATTCCAAGTATTTCAACTCCTCCATCAAATATGATAAACTAATTCAATTATCAACAACTGTCCAAATGCTCCACTAATAAAAGCTACATATGTCCTTGGTCATTTCAACACTCTAGTCCTAATAGTTGGTAGAACCTGCAGGCAATATGAAGGAAAACAATCATTTATAGAAAGCAAAACAGAAACAATAGCTCAGATGGATATTGAACAATATCTAATGATATCATAGTCATTAAGCCTTACTCCAGAATCAAACATTATACTTCACCTTGAAAGCCGCAAAATTTGCAGAAATTTGATTAAACATTTGAGAATTCTGCTCAAGAAGCTCTCCCGTAACACCCCCAATGGCTGGAAAAAATAGTTTTTGTAAGTACCAAAAAAGAAAAAAAAGAAAAAAGCTGATTAATATAAACACAAAATATATTTTAAATATTGCCCATTCGCTAGGGTCTGCCAATTGCAGCCAAATAATTGGCCATGCTCACCCCACAAAGCTTTATCCAGGTTTGATCAAATTCGATGATTTTTTCCCATAAAAAGGCAAACGCATAAATGGTAAATGACAACAATTTTTCACTCATCTAAATACAATCTTGGAAAATAAAATCTCTCTCATTTGTTTTCAATGCCAATAATCAATTTGATACAAAAGCCCTCGCAATAAGTGTCTACACAAACCTTTATACGGGATGCCATCATCAGTGTCCATGGGAATCAATGGTGGAGCATACGAAGGACCATTCGGGCGAGTTGTTAAATGAGATGACGATTTTGCGGATGAATCTGTAGCCTTTTCCTATGAACACCGCCCCACAGCATTTCAAAACTCAAGAAACAGACACAGGCCAAAATTAACAACAGACTGGAATCCAATAGGACCACCACGAGAAACTGTTTGACAGTTTCTTAGTAACTCACATGTCCATGTCAGACAAGTGTCAACATGACATCTAGGCGATGTCAAAATATTCAAGTTAATTTTTCAGTTTAATTTCACATAATTCAAAGTCTACATATAGCGTACCTTTAAATTATTCATACCTATGTCTGTATAAATAGGATGCACTTAATGATACTGTTTTAAATTCCAAGTAATATTGATCTATGTATGCTGCTATTATGTTCTTTCTTCCTAAATAATTATGGTATGATTTAATTCATATATTAAATTAAAACACTTTTCTCATTTCTAAAAGTGTTTCCTCCAAGTATTTTTTTTAAATAAGTAAAACACCTAAATGCCAAACAAACAAAGAAGAATGAGCTGGCAAACATGGTTTCATTAAATTCGTATCTAGCACACAAATGTGTAAGAAACATAGAGTTGCATAAAACATATTACAAACGGAAACCAGATAAGAACATACTTTTCTGTCTTTGTTTTTCCGCGCTGAATTATGATCCTCTTTCCTTCGCTTGCCATTTTCCTTCTTCTGAAAGTAGGTGTAAATCTAACCAGTTAGATTGTTATAAAATGGTACATATAAAATACAGACTGTAAAGTGTAAACCATAAACACGTGCACAGTGTTTTGAACAATTTATAACATACCATATATGATTATAAATCATATGATAAAATCAATTATAATGCAATATTTGACCGGTACATTTGAAATTTTATTAAATAATAATAAGAAAAAGGAATAAGAAGAAAAAGAAAAAGAAAATTAAGTTAAGCCTTTTTTCTATCAAGAGATGGTTTCCAACAAGAAGAAGAAGAAGAAATTTAAAAGAAAAGACTTCGAGATACAGAACCAAAAAAACCAGTCCTATAGGGCCAATGTTTTGTCAAATTATCAGCCTCTCAGCCAGAAACAGAACACAAATAGAGAAAAGCCCTTATGCAATCATGAGTTTTAGTCTGTTAGACTGACTACGCATATATATAACCGTACTCTTCCTCATATCCACAAACTTATGGTAAACTTTGAAGAAAGTGATGATCTAAGAATTGTATACAGTAACTCTATGTATTTTCAGTAGCATTTTACAAATTTAGATTCATGTCACTAAATGGATATTCTAGAATATCATTACATAATATTTATTTCTATATATTATCTAGTATAATTATCCACTTCAAACACATTTGTAATAATATAACTGCAATTCCAATTCCAATTATATCAGTACAGTAGATAAACTTCCTTCATGGGCTTCAAAATGATTTTGCTCATTGAGAAGAAATATCAACTTCCTTCGTAACTTGACAAAACATCAACAACTAAACTATGGAAACTTACACTCATCCATCTACAACGTAGAGCAACATCTCGAACAGTTTTGTCCTTTAACTGCATTGCAATTTTAGCATACCGAACAAGAGTTGAATCCGAGGCAAACCTACAACAAGGTTTTATCACTCTATTCATCAACTGTTCAATATTCGTACACAAAATGCAAGATATAAAATTGACTAGCAAAACATGGTATGCAATTGATGATAATATAAATCAAGGTGTCCCCAACTATTAACAACCTCGACTTGTTCTCCTCACGTCCATAAATACTCAGCTCCAAGGTTGTAAAAAACATCAGTTAGAATAAGACACATAGATATGCACATATTTGAAAACCAATTTCCTTAACATAATTTCCATCAAGAGATGGTCAAACACTTGTAACAAATACACCAATTGCTTTATATAATTACCATCCCACCAACCACCAAATGGTTAATAAATACACCCATTGCGTTAAAAACAAAACAAAAACAAAAACAAAAAAAAATTGCATGCAACTAATCACAAATAGCTGAAAACGAGAATCTTTTAACTAAACTCCAGCTCACACACAAAAGGAAATCATACACCTCTATATTTATCATCATTCATAGTGTAAAGACTCAACACATCGAGCACAGAAGTACAAAATTTCCAAAGATGAAGGAAGTGTTTGGATTGGAAGAGAAAGTAAATACAAGATATTTAATGTGTAGCACACGACGCAACCTTACAATTACCGTTGACAACGGTTTTACTATCACTTCACAACACACATAAACACAATCTTTCAACACCATAACGAAAACTCATTACCACCCACATTTGGTACTGTTAACTTAAATGCATCCAGTCAACAAATTCCCAAAACATAACAAGACATTAAACCATAAATTTCATGCCAAAAATAAGCATAAATAAGTATAATACACTAAATTTTCAATTATCCAATAAACAAAAACCCTCAAACAAACATAGGTGCAACAAGCAGCCAAGTACTTGTCAATAAGATTGCATTCAATTGCTTTAAAATTACAAGTTTTTAAGACATAATTAACCAACAACACACTCAAGAAAAACAAAATCAAAACCAAAATTAAATATTTCAGATAAAAAAAAAAACATGAATTCACCAAGATTAACAGGAGAAAAAAAAAAAAAACTAACTTTGCGAGCAAATCTTCAAGAATTGACTGTTCATCAGGGGTCCACTCGAGTGAAATACCGGTGTTGTGCCGCAACGCCGACGTAGTCGCTGTGGTATCAGCCGCCGGAGTGTTGGCTCCGCCGTTGCTAGAAATAACGCCGCCGTTAGCGGACGTCGACTTCTGCGCCGCCGAGGAGCCTTCCTGGTTGTTCCCTAACGGATTCGCACTTGCAGCCATCAAAACGGTGACGAAACGACTGGACAGCTATCACGATTTCTGACAATCTAACGTTTGCGTTTGCGAATTTTTTTAAGTGATTTTTTTTCGGACAAGTTGAAGAAACTGTTGCGAATCTTTGCAATTAGTTTCTCTTTTCTTCTCTTTTTTGTTTCAATAATTTTTTTTTAAAATTATTTTTCACTTTTCAAGGATATTTTTATCCTTTATAAGATGCCCTTTTCTTCCATTTCCTTCTTTGTTTGTTTGTTTCCTAAGTTAAACGTTAAATTATATCAAATAATTAATTTGAAAAATCGAATATTATATATATTTATATGTATATATATAATATAGAATTATATATATTTTCCAATAACCCAAAATCAAGGAATAAACATGCACAAAAAGGGGAAAAAATAGCATAAAATATAAAGAAATAAATTATTAGCAAAGAAGTGTTTAATAGGTGTATTAAATATATTTATATTTATTAGATAAGATAAAAAAAAATTTAGATATAGATTCACATAAATATAATTGTTTTTATATTAAATAAAAATATTTATATATTTTTTTTATTTTTGAGATATTAAAAAGAAAATTAGTTAAATTGGATATGAATGGTTAAGTAATTAGTAGTAAAAAGAGAGTGTGGGCCAAAAGTAGAAAAATAAAATTACAAGATAATCCTCAGTATATACTGTACAAAAAGACAAGTCAATCAAGTAGCAAAGCAAAATAAACAACAATTTGTTGGCTGCTCTCTTTCTCTGAGCATACCGCGTTTCATAGGTGGGCGTGAGGTCAGGTCAGAGATAACACACACGCCTCAATAATTCATTCAATCGCCCATGGACTCCAATTCGCAGCAACCACCAGGTCCGTTTTATTCAATTTTGTTTTATTTTTTTTCCAATTTTGGTTTCTGTATTGGTTCTATTGATCAATTTTCTCTTAGGGTTTTCATCTTTTAATTGTGCCGGGAATCATGCTAAGAAGTCGTTTCTTTTTTATGGGTTGTGTTTAGTTTTTTTGTATAATGATTTGTATGGTCCTGATGGGTTTATCTTTAGTTTCTGCTATTGATTTCGTATTTCGTATTTGGTCTTTGATATGTTATCTTTAATTTTGGTAAAGGCATAGATTTTTCACTTTTTGAGGCCACTGGCGGGTACTTGGTACCCTTATTGGGTCAGTTATAATGTAAAGATAGTAGCTTTATTCAATCAGGCATTGTATGTTATTAAAACAGTGTTTTAGCATTCTTGCATTTTCATTGATTTTGTGCAATGTTTTTAACTTCTTTATGATTTGTTAATTTATGTGTGATTGCTTTATTTGTAGGTACTGGAGCTCCGGCGAAGCCTTGGGAGCGAACAGGGACTGCATCAGGTCCTTCACCTTTTAATCCACCATCGTCTGGCAGTACCAGTGATGTAGTTGAGGCTTCTGGTACTGCAAGACCGGGCGAAATTGTTTCGGCTGCTGATAGGAATACAGCTGTAAATAGAAACACACTTAGTCGACCTGTACCACCCACCAGGCCGTGGGAGCAACAAAATTATGGGAGTACTTATGGAGGTATATGTTGCTCTTCTAATATTTGTGTAATGACATTGTTCTTCTATTTTGTAATATATTTCAGTTCCATGGCTGCTTATATGGTTCTTGATTATTTTCATGGTGATGCAGGTTATGGGTCTGGTCTGAATTATAACTCGGGTTATGGGTCAGGAACTTATGGATCAGGAATGTATGGTTCATCATATGGTGGATTGGGAGGGTCTTTAGGTGGTGGATTATACGGTAACAGCATGTACAACAGAGGAGGTTATGGTGGTTTGTATGGAGGTTCTAGCATGTATGGTGGAGCCGGAGGAATGTATAACAGTGGGTTTGGAGGGTCAATGGGCAGTTATGGAATGGGTATGGGTATGGGTCCAGGTCCATATGGTGATCAAGACCCAAATAATCCATATGGTGGTCCACCATCTCCGCCTGGCTTTTGGATGTCCTTCCTTCGAGTGGTAAGGAAGCACTAATCTTTAATTTTCTCTTACTTTCGTCAATCATTGCCTGATTCATTATTTTATGTGTTTTTTTAACAAGAAGAAAAACACTAATATTAACNTGGGAGGGTCTTTAGGTGGTGGATTATACGGTAACAGCATGTACAACAGAGGAGGTTATGGTGGTTTGTATGGAGGTTCTAGCATGTATGGTGGAGCCGGAGGAATGTATAACAGTGGGTTTGGAGGGTCAATGGGCAGTTATGGAATGGGTATGGGTATGGGTCCAGGTCCATATGGTGATCAAGACCCAAATAATCCATATGGTGGTCCACCATCTCCGCCTGGCTTTTGGATGTCCTTCCTTCGAGTGGTAAGGAAGCACTAATCTTTAATTTTCTCTTACTTTCGTCAATCATTGCCTGATTCATTATTTTATGTGTTTTTTTAACAAGAAGAAAAACACTAATATTAACTGTCAAGTCTTTTAGTTCTTGGGCCAAACCTCAACTTTGGCTGTTGATCAGGTGGTTGACTAAATGAATATGAATCAGATATTTTTGTTTAGTTTTTTAAGTTTAGAAAGATTGGTTTTGCTTTCCCCCTCCCCCCAAATTGTACTATTAGTTAATTAGAATCTGGCTCTTATGATTTTAAGTTTTCCAAAACTCACTTATCAGCTGGTCCAAAATATAAAGAATGCTTTTATGTATACTTTTTTTCTTTAGTGCATGAACTTCTCTCGATTGCTTTAGTGCATGAATCTTGCTTTTCCTCATCTCATGTGACTGGCCATTATCTAATCTTGATCTTAATATTATTTGTCTCTGTACATTTAGCATTTATACATGAATCTCAAACTGTAGAAAATAGTTGGTACAGTTCAATTTCGTACCCAGATTCTTTTCGTACAATAAATATGAGCTTATTAATCGTGTATATGTCTTGTTGGAAACATTTTGTTTGGGGCAAGTGCTCTTTTTTTAAGATGAGTCACATACTGATAACAACTCATTTTTTAATGATGGCAGATGCAAGGTGTTGTAAACTTTTTCGGCCGGATATCAATTTTGATTGATCAGAATACCCAAGCATTTCACCTGTTTATGACTGCACTTCTTCAGGTTATTCTTTTTCCATGCTTATTCTCTGTATTCATGTGTCATATATAATTGGTATCTGCTTTGAATCTTCTAGATTAAAGAAATAACTGGACTAGTGAAGTCTTAGCGTTCTTCCTTTGACCTGTATAAAATGTAATGTATATCTTAATGATTCATTACATCTTCACTTGCAGCTTTTTGATCGCTCTGGAATGTTGTATGGTGAGTTGGCTAGATTTGTATTAAGACTGCTGGGAATTAAAACAAAGCCCAGAAAGCTTAATCAACCAGGACCAAATGGGCTTCCAGGCCCCCACAACCCCCACGGGAATCAGAATTACATTGAGGGCCCTAAACCTGCCCCAGGTGGTGCATGGGACAATGTATGGGGAGAGAATGGCAGCAGTTAGTTAATACCTCCCAGTCTGCTGTTTTTGCCCTGAGAAACCAACCAAAAACCGGGAGCTTTGTGGTAGCTGGGATTCAGGAGGAAGTAACGATGTACTCTTATTGCATTGGTTAGGCTGAACATGAAGATCGCCTTTTGCTTAAAATGTTTCTTTTTATCATGAAAAAATGTGTTATTTTTCTGTGAAATAGAATATAGTGTTTCTGCATCTGTTGTTTTTGTACCAAAGGACAACCTGTGTTGAGATGGGAAAATTGCAATAACATATCCTATAATGTAAGGGATATATAGGCTTTCAATATCGAAATGTGAAATTACTCATGAATAAATTTTTGTTTTCGAAAGTTCATTGTGTCTTGTATACTGTCTTATGTGAGCATATATGATGGAGTTAAAGGCTCTGCATATGGTCCCGGAGAATTGTCTGTGTTTGCAAAAATTGGTTGATAAAGCAAAGTTATACATTGTTTCTCTTGATTATTTTGGCTGATGTGATTTATTTTATACCAGAGCAATGACACTTAAAGGAGTTACTTTAATAACATACATTTCTTTGATTTGTAAGTTCTTTATGAAGACTTATTATGTATGTTGTGTTCAATTCTGGTAGAGCTTACAGAGTACTGACAAGCACAATGACAAAAAGGCCAAGTTGGGCAGAGTGATTAATCAGAAAATGGAAAGAGATAAAAGGAGAGAACATGATTCTTTTCCTTTACTCTGCAGTCTGCACTTCTCTCTGATTTCCCCAGTCTAAGATTATCAAGGGAGAACAATAAGGCCAAGGTGGACTTATTCAAAAACACAGATTAGAGATTCAATGTACTGGTTCATCAACAAAATTAAGCTTATTGATCACACAGCTCAAAATGTCTAATAAATGTCATGCTTAGGATCGAAGACATGCGGAAGCAAGATGCATAACCTCAACTTGGTATTAGCAAACGTCCAAGTGTTTTTCGAATAGTTATATAAAAACAGAACATGAAGATCCTCCGACCCTGTAATATACTAATATGTAAATAGCTGTGCGAAAAGATCACATTTAAGATGCCTATTCAAAGGTTATTATTATGTTGATACAATTAGTATCATTGAACAACAATAAGCCACCTTACCAAAGTAAATCTTAACATTCATCAGAATTGCTGCTTCATTAATGGCATACTAACCAAGTTCAGTCTTTGAAAAGTATGTACCCACAAATGCCCATCTAATGATCCTTCCAATCGGGCCCTACACATATTATTTCTTCTTCCTTTATCTCCACGTCACCTCTATACAGTTTAAACAACTCTATTGAATATGTAGATATTCGAGGATTCTGATTCATGTATAAGACCAAGAGCCGTCTGCACCCATCTCTAATAGCGTCCAGTCCACGAGGACATAGATTCCGACAGCGATTCACATGCAGTTTCACCAAATTATTGCAGTTTAATCCAATAGATTCCCATCCTGAAAACCCTACCCCATGGCATATTGCTAAGTTCCACTCTTTAAGTAAGGGACACCCCTTCGCAATAGCCATAATAGCCGCATCACCAACACTTCTGCACATTCGAAAGTTAAGAATTTTAAGCCTTGAGGCATATCCTGTCCCAATCGCTGCCAATCCACCTTGACCAAGCCAGTTTATGGAAGAAACATTTAAAATCTCTAGCCCACCTCCACTAACAATCCCTGTTATCCCCTCTGGTCTAAGGTTGCAAGATTCAGCATCAATATAAGCTAAAGTTGCTGAACATCCTCTGAAGCCAACACCAGTTATACCGCTACAACAAGATATCTTTACTGCTCCAAGTTGACTGCATCTTTGCGAAAGAACTTTTAACCCACAGTCAGAAATTTGTAAGCAATATGAAAGATTCACATGCATCAAAGTTGAGCAAGCATTAGCCAAAATTTCTAACCCTGCATCAGTAACATTGCACCTATACAGACTAATACTTGTTATAGATGGACACCAAGCACCAATCTGGGAAAGTCCATTATCAGTGATTCGGAAACAACAATCCAGAATAATAGTTTGTAACTTTGAACCATAATACTGCAACTGGTTTAGGCCCGAATCAGGTAGCTCAGTGCAACCACAAAGAGACAAAAACTCTAAATGCTGAAAACGAGTGAGCAGCCTGTAGAGATGGTAGGAATTAATGTTAAGAGTAGTCTGGGAGGGTTGGGAGAATGAACATTGGAATTCCAAGGATCTGCGACATAAATTTTGAATTTTAAGCCAGCGATGGCAAGTCAAACCAAAAGATACACGGTCAGAGCAACCTCGAAGCCCTTGGAAAATATGACAGAGGCAATCATCAGGCAGGTGCATGATATAGGTGCGTCCATCACCAGATGGATCTTCCATATCAACCTTATTGGCAATCTTCTGAAGGCTGTAGCGCTCGGACCTTTATAGTGAACTTTTTATACGCTGAGCTAGTTGTATTAGGGGAGTCAAAACCACAAAGCGCAGGTGAGTAGCCATATCCATAGCCTATATGAACCCCACATTTACGACATAAGAGTTTAGTTTTTGAACCATAACGTCCCCAAGATACAGGAAAGCAATTCACCTCATCAACCTGTGTGAATCGACTTAGATCAACAGAAAGGAAAGAGATAAAACCTTTCTTTATGGATTTCTGATACTCAGATCCTATGCCAGAGGTGATGCGATTCAAAGATGATAAGTTTAGAGGGTATCCGCAAGACCCACAGCTGGTATGCAAAAGGGCAAAAACATATCAGTTTAGCTAATGCTACAATTGCAACCACAACTGCAGATAACAAACAAGTAATTAAAGAAATGTCAAAATCACATCATGCTATTACCAGTAACGCGGGTTTTATATGTAACAATCTCAGCTTGTTATGTCATTGTGTAATATAATTTAGCTCTGATGAACATCTTACAATCAACCAAAACTCACAACTCCTAACCTAAAATTGTTTTTACATTTTGAGCTACTTTTTTAAATTGTATCTGAAAACTATTTTCAGATACTCTCAATCAAACACATTTATTAAAATCTTTAACATCCCTTGTTTCTAAGAACAAAAAAAAAAAAAAAAATTGTTTCCAGATCACAAATCAAACATGCCACAATCTTCTGTAAACAGTACCACCACGACGCCATAAAAAAATCAATCAAGGCCAATTTCCATAATCCAATTAAAAGCTAAAATTAAAATAATTAAAAAAAAAAGCAGAACTAGACAACTTGTTATTTTTAAAAATCGAAATAAATAAAGATGAGATTTTTACAACAGATAAACTGAAATTACATCAGACCCACATGTAAAAATATGAACTTGAACTTACCCAAAAAAATATGAACTTGAGCAATAAAAACGCAAATTTAAATTTAAAAAAAAAAAAAATTTAAGAAAAAGAAAGGAGATGAACCTGTAAGAGACATCAGCTTGGGACATTATCTTGCTGAGGATCAGATAAAAGTCCACGATTTGATTTCATTAGAATGATTGACAGCCAATCAGATCTAGATATTTTGATTACTTATTTGTTCTGGTCGTGTTGTTGCAGAAACACCAGTTGTTTATTGGTGTGACTTGACTTTTTTCATTATTTAAAACCTGCTTTCACTTCGGACTCTGTTTTATAGTGCACGACATTACATACGCATCCACAGCAACCCCCCAAGGTTTTGCCTCATGACCCTTTCCCACCCAAAAAGTTTTAAAACGACACTTTCCCAATAGTTAAGACCAGGTTAGTAAAATTAGGTAACTGACATGATATAAACAATGTAAAGATGAAAATACCCTTCTTTATTCTTTGTCCTTCACCACCCTTCTCTTTTCTTTTTGTTCACCTTTCTTCTTTCTTCTTCTTCTCTCTTTCTATCCTCTTCATCTTTCTTTCCCCCTCCCCTTCTCCAAGATGACCAAGACCTTATCTGCCCAAAATTTAGCAACCCAATTTGGTTGCCTCTTGCCTAGATCATGGCGGTCACAATCGCAACTCCCCTTCTCCTCCACCTCCGGCTCCAAATCAATTGAATGGTTCAATTTAGTAAGAACCTTATCCATGTTCTGTAAGCTATCCATGGTGATATCAAGAGAAAAGGAGGATGAACGTAAAGTCCTTAACACCAAGGTGGTGCTGGCCCAAAGGACTTTGACGGTTAAGTTAGAACGAGTGAAAAAGAATTAAGCAAAGCGAAGCAAAAAATGGGATGGAGTTGATAGAAGTCATCGTGATCATGGAGTTGTGGCATGGCAATCGTCATAGAGTGGTTGGAACTTGACTCTATGGTGTGAAATGGTGGCACTACAACAGAGTAAAAGTGAGAGTGTGAGGAATGAATTGTAAAGTGTGAAAGTAAAGTACAAAGTACGTTCTGAGGTCCCTTCTAAGAGGGTCGACCTTGATATTTACAGGCGACTGGGGTGTTAAAGCTTCCACAAGACTCAAAGTCCCGTTGAGGAATGAATGTCGACTCTAAGTCAGCTGACTTGGTGAAGACGTTGTAATCTTTTTTCGAGTATCATGCTACGTGGCTGGAGGTTCGAATTTAGTTGTGACTTAGTTGAAGGGACGTGAGACTTGGTTTGTAAAGTTGATGATAGGTCGTGTAACCGATAGACTAGAGCATGGGATGACCCAACCCATAAAGTGACTCGATTCATAGTATGGCATGAACCGTAGGTCGGTCCATATCGCAGAACGACCCATATCGTAGAATGACCTGACTCGTGGAACGAGCTAGCTCTTGGAATGGACCAGCATATAGAATGGGCCACCTCATATAGTGGGTCCTCTACGAGATATGCTTTGACATAGAGCCTAATGTGGTTAGGTCATGGCATAGAGTTGACAGCAATTAGGTCTAACATGGGCCCAGTAAAGATTTTTTCCCATATAATTGGTCCCCCACTCTCTAAGTTAAGAAGTTCTTAGCTTAAAAGAGTATATCAAGTCGAATACAAGGTCCAAGTGAATAAGTTGGTGTCTAGAAGCATGTAAGTCGAATAGACCAATGAAAAAATGACGTCTACTTTGATCTCGTGGATGTTAGTTTGACCTGTCATACGGTTGTCGTATACATCTACTCGACAATTCGTGTTGAGCAAAAAGGAGGAGGAACTTAGAAACCCCTTGCTCATCATTATGTCAAATGGGTATGAGAAGGACAAGGTTTGAACTGAATGATAAATCACGAGATGGAAATGTCGAGTTGATATGAGTTGGAGTAGTTAGCTCGACATTCTATGTCAAGCGGTGTATTCAACGAAGTGGGACAATGTCAAGTGAAAGGTGCATGTTGCTCGACGAATGACATGTCATGTTAAATGTTAATAGCTCACTCGACATGTCGTGTCGAGCAAAGCATAGAGGCCAATGAGTTTGTGGCTTGAGCATTAAAGCTTATAGAACCCGACTCAACAAGGTCTCGAGCTAACATATCGAGCAAGAGCTTGGGGTTCCTTACATAGGCACACTCCTTCATGCACTTTGAAGCATGAGGTCTGCTCAAAGTTAAGTCAATTAGAGTTGATTTCTAGCTCATTGAGGCTCGATTGTCACACGACGTTGTCTGGTGTTTGTTCTTGAAATGAGTGTTGACTAAGTTTGTGTTTTTAGGTCAGCTCGACATTATAGTTGTTAGTGTATGCCCTAGGAATCAATCGTGTTGTCGGTTTCATGACATTATATCTTGTAAATGTATTATGAATAAAAGAAGGTGTTCTTATTTCACATGTTGATTTTCTACTTCATTTATATTATATTATATTCAATATTGCATGTGAAATGTAAGGATGACATGGATCTTTAGAAGATCAAATCATCAAAGAATTCCCTACGTAAGTAATGTTAATTGGGCAATAACATTGCATAGTAGGCATGCTAAATGTCTCCATTGAATATCATGTGATGGTATTAGTGTGGGTGATTATAAGAGGTATCTCACTAAGGCATTAGCATAGATAAACGGTTAGTAAACTGTTTATCGAATACGACTGATTACGATGAATCACATGGATATGGTCAATGATGCATCGTAGGATCGTGCTAGTGTACCACTGATCCTTAGACTTGAGACATCATGGTTGGATTCAACATAGGATGCATATAGTTCATATGGTGTATAAGCACGAGACTAATCATGTCTTGTGTAATAAGCCAGTTTGGTCATATGTTATTCATGTGCGAGGACAAGTGATGGTCAAGATGGGATACGTTAACTCAAAATAGTCCAATCTCGAGTTCCCAGACGGGAAATCTCTGGCCAGAGTATAATGAATGTCAGATGAAAAGTAGTTTCATGTGAATGTCAGATGAAAAGTAGTTTCATGTTGACGAGTTCTATTGTATCGATTGACAATTCGATTAAAGATTAAGTTAAATGTTTTGACATACCATGAACCATTCTTAATCGGGATTAGATAACGAAGGGATTTGACTACACGGTTCGTAGGATCAGAATAGGTTCATTGGAGTTTACACTTCATTATGGTTTAGGGGTTATGGAACATTGCTAGACGTCTACCACCATCAGTGGGAATTTTGATTATAAAGAACTATAACGAAACATATCAAAATCAGATATTGAGCCCACGGCTAGATCATAATGAACCAAAATGGTCACACATAAAACCAAGCTCAATGAGAGAGAGAAATACATATCATTAATCAAATTAATGATGTTCGAACGTAAACGGTTGCATCCGAATTAATGTATTGGTAAGAAATGATTATCTATGGATAGCTAGTACTAACCCAGGGTAATAAGGATTTATTAAATATTATTATTGAATTAGATTCAATGATGGGGGCAAAAGTGCATTGGTTTTATTCTAAAGGGTTAGAATATTTAATGGAATTGAAATTTGGTCTAATTATGAATTAACCATAAAACCAAGGACTTGACATAAATGTTTATTCTCAAGTTAATTTTAAATTGTTTGAGGTCTTCCCAAAACAATTTAAAATTACACTTTGTGCCCATGGTATATAAATTAAGTTTTATACCATTTTAATTCAATTGAATCAATTGAAACAAAAAGCAATCTCTCACTTTCTCTCTCACTCTCTCGGCTCTCTCATCTTTGGATTGGGTGGACTTCATTTTGAGTGTCTTCATTCACTTTTGAAGAATCTAGACTCCAAGTTTCAACATCAAGCTTTTAATAGCAAAAGGAGTTGGTAATTTTCTATCATTTTCTTACATTAATATGTTAATGTTATAATGGTTTGTTTTCTACCTTATGTCCATCATCTTGATCATCATTTTCTCTCCATTTCCATGTCCAAAATGCATGAATCCCAACAATAGTGTGGTGCTTTTCAAGAAGAGGTATGTAACAAATTCGTATAGGGTGTTCAAGTGGTATGTATGAGATGTTTGCAAGGCACATCCTATGTGCGTGGCACACGTGTTATGAGCATATGGCACGCATGTAGTACAAAAGTGGCATAGAATACAAAAGGTTTTTTGTTTCCCAAAGCGTGCTTGATGACTAATAGCTATCTTGTTTGAAAAGATGTGGTTTTTTGAAGGTGAACAATCCAAAAGAACGAAGATATTCGCGATTCCAAGTGGAAATCAAGGTAAAAATACGAAGAGCAATGGGAAGATCAAGGTCAGAAGGATCTGGATCCTAAGACGAAGGACGGTAGGGGAAATGAGTTAGAAGTGCGATATGAGTGTCATAAGTGTGTGCTGAGTTCCTGACGAATGTAAACTTGGTGAGAGGAGGATGAGGAGGGGGTGAGGAATGGTGCTAGTAATTGTATAAATAGAATATCATCAGGGACACTAGGGGGGGATGAATCTGATGAGTCTACATAAAAGTATTTTCAAAAAACTAAACATCAGTTGAGACAATATACGACCCATGTAGGAGAAAAGCAACAATAACCCTTTGGGAGAGAGGAAATAAAGACTGAGAAGGAAAAAGAATAGAGTAAGGAATCGACCACCCAAAACAGAGGAGGGCATTCAATTAATCAAATAACAAGCAGTAGAAACCGCATCTGCCCATAACTCTTTAGAAAAAGTGTAAGAGCGACTCCAACAAATGCGATTTTTTTTCAACAACCCCATTTTGTTGAGGTGTATACATACAGGAGACTGGTGAATAATACCCATGGTGGACAAAAAAAGAAGAAAAAGATGTAGAGAAATATTCTTTGGCATTACACTCTACAAAATTTAATAGAAGAGGTAAATTTATTTTGTATCTCATCATAAAAGTCACAAAAATGGAAATAACCCAAAACAATTTTCCATAAAATATAGCCAAGTTACACGGGAAAAATCATAAACAAAGTACCAAAGTTTTATACCCAGATTTAGACAAAACAGGACAAGGACCCCAAATATTCGAATGATAATATCAAAAGGAGCAGCAGCTCATTTATTATTCTAGAATTGTACGACACTCGATGGTGTTTACCAAACTTGTAATGCCCACTTTGAGTACGTAGTTTGTATGCTTACTTTTTGTCTTGGTGTTGTTTGTTGGCCCTAAGTTAGATTGATATGTTGTTTTGTTGTTGGTGTCCTTGGTTAAGTTTGTAAGTTGTTGAAGTTGCTGGAAGCCCTGATTTTGTTGAAGGATTGGCGAAATCATGGAAGTGCAAACTTTGCCAGGGCGAAGAAAAGCTTTGCGCGGTGACATACACTCTGTTTTTTTTTTCGCCAGGGCGAAGAGTTAGCTAATTTTCTTATGAGTCGAGAAATTCCATAGAGGTGAAGTGCCATTCTACCCCTAATTAGCGAAAAGTGGGGAGTGAAATGCAAGGAAATTTCAGGAGAATGCATTAGAGTGAGGGTGTATTTGTAAAGAATAAAGGGTAAAGATGGAATTTTTAAGAAAGTGCAAGGGCAAAATGGGAAGGAGTGTTTATTATATGAGCTAGGGTGTAGCCTTAGAACCCACTCCATTCCTACACCCACATACACCTCCACTTCCCTCTCCACATTATCATCCATTTGCTAGGGAAATTGAGGGCTTTTGGTGGATTTTGACAAGGATTTGATCCTAAGCATCAAAAAGGTTTGAGAAAAGACAAGTCTAACAAAGATAGTGAGCTTTTGTGA